CGTGTATTATTATGAAACAACTTTTAAATTGAATCCTTGTTCTAGTTTTCATCCTTTAGGTACCTTATATAGTGCACTCGTTTTATTTAAGTGATATATGAATGATTCATCACGAAGAATCGGACGGATCCCTCTACAGCCTTTATTTGATTCATTCGATTGATCTATTTCTGGTGACAGTGCATTGCCACACCATCACCTCCTCTGGGACCACACTCCTTCGAGCAATTTCTGGCAGAGGTTTATTCCTACCGGAGCCTCACAAGGAACTTTATCGAACATATGGGGCATCACTAGCAAAGCACCAGACCCAATCGGTGAGACATAATGAACTGCTCCCTTTAGTGTTCATCCAGTACCCTAAAATACTTCCTGAACTACAGCGAGTTGTGAATGAATTATGATGGAGTCCTTCTATCACTGTATCACCTGTGGCCCTTTCATTGTCGAGTTGCTCAAGCGAGCCCCATCAGACCTTCAATTCCTCCGTGTCCTGTTCAAGAGTGGCACAATGGGTTTTCGTCGCTCTAGGAGCTCTTTGGTCACTATACTTTTCTTTTAACGTTTTTATAAATAACGCTGACCACTGGGACGGCGGTATTCCTGCAGCACATCCGACATTCCGAGAAATCAGCCGCTTACGGCTCTTGGCTATCGGTTGGCGTTCGATTGTTTGGCGTATGGAAAGATGTCTTTGCTTTTTGACATTGCCATGAGTCTGTGCTTCGGATTCCCTCTTTTACTTGCGTGATAGAGTTACTCCTAACATTGCCCTTTCGGCAGCGCGTTATGCAACGCTGAATGGTCCTTCATCCATCCACCTTACATAGCGATCAGGTTTCTGATGCAAGCCTTAAGGCAGAAAGAAGCGCGAAATCGAAAATTTGTTCTCCGAGTCAGGTGTTCTTTGTTCTCCTCACTACATTCTCGGTACCCATAAGGTTCCTCAAGCTGCTCGCCTCCTGCTCAACTCTGGAGGATCACGTTTACTTCCCGATCACGTTCCGATAGATAGAATAGTTGTAGCATTCTGAAGTAATCGTTCGGTTGAACGCGAAAGGGTTATACGATACCAATCCGTTCTTTGTGAACATTGCTTTTGTGAGACTTAGTCCGTGACCGATCGGATAGCCACAAGGGTTATCAAAGTCGGATAGTATTCGTTCCACATGGCGAATGCTTGACGTTGTAAGAACAACGACATCAGCAGAACGAGGATGATGTGGCTGAGGATCATCGATTTTCACTCTCATGTTCCACTGCAATGTTGGTGTGATGTTCTAGAGGGTGGCAGCACATAATTTTGGCGACTATGATACCGTCTTGCCTAACCCATGTTTATATGTCGATGTTATCACCGCTGTACATTGGTGATCTTTTCGTTGTGGAATTTTTGCAAACCTTGCGAGAGGTCTTTATGTACTATGCTTCTGCCTCAAACGAATCAAAAAAAAGATTTCTTTAAATCAATGAAAACGAAACAGAGCGATCCGTTGTACTATTGCGACACTTCACTGAGACTTGTAATAGCGTGGATATGGTCCATAGTACTGAATGCTTTTCGAAACCCTGCTTGCTCACATGACTGTCCTTCGTCCACTGGGTTGTCAGTGCTGCGTAGAACGATTCGAGTAAAGAGTTTATAAGAGACAGCGAGCAGATTTGGCAACAGCTGCCGATGTCGAGAATGTCATTCTTTTTGAACAGTGACATGGTCTCGCTGGTCTTCCATTGAAAGGGTACCTTCCATTTTGAGGGGAAACGTGGGAAGAACCGAACCAGCGTGTCGATGAGGACTTACGGAAAATTCTTCAGCTATTCACGTTTTGTTCAATCCTGTCCAGGTGTAGTTCAATTCTTCACAAACAGGATAGCATACCAAATTTTGGATGAAGCGAGACATTCATGGCTTACTTCATATGACGGCAGGAGGACGAGGCTATTGAGGAAACCGAACTAGTGATCGTAAACGGTTTTCTCAGCTGTTTTTCTGGAGCTATGACTGGTACATCTGTGTGTCCGAGTGCAATCGTCACGGTTTTGTTACTGCAACGTTTCGATAGGCTTTGCGAATGATTTTCGAAGTCTCTGCAGCTTCGACCATAGCGGCTGCTCTTCTCTCTTTGGGATTCATCTTTTATCGCTGGTCTGCATTGTTATGCAAGCTCAGACATGAGTTGGCAGTTGCCTGTGGCTCGTGCGGTTCCACTTTGGCGTATCAGCTTGACTATTTTTTGGGAGAGACTTCCCTCGATGATTTTCGAATTCTCAGCTTTCATAGCGGTAACGTCGAACCGCTATAAGGGGCGCGTATTTCTCGTTGATATTATCAATAACGGAATCTTGCCAAAAGCCGACTAATTATCTGAATCAGCCTCAGCTTTTTATGGTTTTGGGGTATTACTTTCTGAAGTTAGTCACTTTCTCTCCTATCGGCAAAAAGTAGAATCCTGTGCGAAGGTGGCGACGTTCTGATGCCGTTTAGAATTGTGGGACAATAACGACATCGCTTAGGCAAAACCTTGGATTTCTTGAACTGCGGGTTACCATGAAGTCTTGGTCGTTATGATCAACTCGGACACTCGCCCATCCTGCTTGTTCCACTCTAATCCAAAGGTTCCAAAGTGTTGTCCTTCAGACGTTCTTTTGGGTTCAGTCTTGGCGTCGAAATACTAATAATGACCTTAAAGAGTTCATAGTTTTCTCAGGATAACCTCTCCAAGTTCATACAGAACGTTCCGACTTCGTCATCATAGCTTAATGTTGGTCGGTAGACAAGAAAGTTTGTTAAAGCCGATATTGATCAACATCTCTTCAACCGCAAACGTCTAATTTAGGATTGTTAGTTGCTCGAGTAAATCGATGTTCACTGTCATAGTCGTGTTGAAGAAAACGCCGACTCCGCCGACTCCTCCACTGTCGCATGTTCCTTAGGACAGTTCTTCTGCGGCATGGACGACGTTGAATCGGCGATGTATTCTCGTCTCAACCAGTCTGATGACAGTCCCATACCACATCGTTGTAGGTACGGATCATCACCTCAGTCCTTTGCGATTTAGGTGGCTTAGAATGGCCCTGAGATGTTAGCAGCCTTTCTGTACTCGTCCTACCCAACGCTACCCTACCGGCTGTTCTTTCGAGGTCAGGAGAATGAAGCCCGTTTCTTTTACTGTTTTTAGCCTTTTGATACTCACGTATAGCTTGATGGGATTTTACAGTAGGGTGAGTGTATTCACAGGTACCTTGCCGTTCTCTTCCAGCGTAGACGGGGAGCTCATTTGGTGGAGTCGACTCCTAACCTCCTCCCATTTATTTTCGGGACACTTGATTTCCAAGCTTTCGGCAGAATTGAATCGTACGACCAACATAAACGACAACGTACCCACGTACATAGGTATGAATTTGAATTCGTAAGCAGAGAAAATATACGCCAAATCGGCGAACGAAACAGGGCATCTAGCCTCTGGATCCACTTTCGTGGCAGGAAAACACAACGTCGCTTTTGGTTCGCGTTTAACACCCCATCCAGCGCCTAGAGACGCGCCATTTTGCTTCGCGACTAACCGGCAAGAGATTAGTATGCTAGAGGGATTCGTCAGCTAACAAGCGTACCAGATGCGACAAATCTCCCTCTGATCCATGAACAACTGCCTGTGGTGGTGAACACCTGGGGCAGACTTTGGCCATGTTGACTTCGGGACTCCAGAGAATTACAATGGCTAAACCTGCAAATCTCCGAAGAATGGAGATTATGCTGGGGTCCGCAAAACCAAGCGAAGACGGGCCATCCAGGTATTCATGTATCCTAGGTGTGGCCACATGATCCTAGTTCATTTACGTAGTTAGTATTTCGCAGTAAGCGCTTTATTTTCCTTCGTCTTCGCTTCTGCTTGGATCCTCATTATGTTTGTCACACCAGTTCGATCGATTAGAACTAAGGCGAAAGACTTATGTAGTAACACCCCTTTTTTTGTATAAAAAGTGAAAAATCTTTTAAGTCGCGCCGCAACCGCGCCGCCACGCAACTCAAAATCGTCGTGCAGCGAGTTTACTGCACATCTTTTGTTCATAACTTTGTTAGGTATGCGCAGACAGTTATTGCAGATTTCTAAGTATTCCAGTCATATTGTTCCACTTGAAGGTAGCCGCTTCAACACTTGGTGACCAAACATACTTAATGCCTTAGGTGAGTCGTAGTTTGTTATTCCTACTCTTTTTTAATTCCGTGTTTTAAATTCTTTTCTCTATGATTCACTCGTTTATTATTTCCTTAAAAAAGATCAAATGGGTGTCGTGGATAAGTCACAAAATGCCTGGTAAGATCGAAGGAATCACCGTTGTTCGTAGTGGCGGCGTCCTTAGCGTAGATTACTTCGTTGACGATGGAAAATAACGGTGTAATAGTGGTGGAAGGTACTTATTTATAGAAATTGGATTTTGAATTCTTTCCTTGATGTTAGAGCCTATATTGGGGCTGAACACTAAACTCTGCTAAAGTAAAATCAATATTTTACGTGGTCTGATGGTGAACACGTTAGCCTCCGGAAGGGATACTAGCGGATTCGATCCTGGCGCAGACACCTGCAGTTTGGAGTTTTGCAAATACCTCAGCATCATTGTACGTACCAATAATACATGACAGATTTGCTTGAGTAGCTAAGTGACTATAATCAATGGCTATATAATCGAAAAACATTCCTCGTTAACTGGTATATCTTTCAGAATTGTGCAGGTTTTCGCGTTGAAGATGCGCCATGGTCTAAGGTGGTTGGATGTTCTGTTTCCTCTACCAAATGCGGAATTCAGCACTCTGAGAGCTTCTTCGCATTCAGCTCAGGATTCGCTGAGAGCACTGTTACTTCTGACACTTTTTGCAATTACCTTCGCTTCGACCATGGTACGTTCGCTCACGTAAACTTTAATTGTGGCTTCTTCTTTAAACTATCGTAACTGTTTTGCTATTGAAACAGCGGCGTGATGAACTCCAATTTGACTGAATTTTAAATGTCAGGGGCGCGTGTAGCGGAGTAGTTGCAGATCCCCACGCCCAAGGTCTACCAATCCTTCCATCCCTCCGAGGTCGGTGAATTAGTACCATAATTGTCTGGGAGGATAGCAGTATTGGCTCGTTACATTGGTAGGCCAGCGCGAGTCATTACAAAAGCCGGGTATGCATTCAATCATCTCCAAACGATGCCTAATGAAGTCGAATCCATGGCGGATCGCTCAGGACTTGATCAACGCCGAGAGCTTTATCCTTTATTCTTTTCCTGCGTTTTAACTGTCAACGTTTTCTCCCCCTTTTTATACTTCTTCATCTAAATTTTTGTTCCTTTCAGCTGGCTACTGTGCTAAGAGGAGAATATGCACGCAATCATCTATCATCATTTATTGCTTGTTTTGGAGGTGGTGTATTTCTAGCAACATGTTTGTTAGACCTCCTACCAGGTTATTGAATTTGAAATTTTGCACCGTTCGTAATTTACTCTCCAGATCAATCCCATTGACGGTTGATTGCTAATGGCACTGTGAAGTAGTAAAACTAGCTGAGAGAAAGGCGAAACGAAGGACCCGCATGGTGTGGTGGTGAACACTTTAGCCCTCGGAAAGAGTAATAGCGTGCTCGATCCCCACTGCACATATCTGCGTTCCGGAGTTTTGCAAATAAATTGTTGTGGTTGAAGTTTCGGTATTTCATCAATTTGACTGAATCCGAAAAGTCATTTCAGATGCTATTGAGTCATTTGAAAAGACAAACTTTGACACCAGTTTTCCGGTCGCGGAATCAGCCGTGATAGGAGGTTTACTGATTGTTCTGTTCATGGAACAAGTATGTTTTACTTTCATTCGCTACTTTATTGAGTTACATTGTAGTTCGTGATTTTGCCTTGAAAAGTGACATACTAAATTCTGGTGTGATACTTTTGATAAGTCATTTCATTGCTTTTACTCATAGATTGTTCTCACAATGCGAGAACGTGGATGTCTCGTATCTGGTCACACTCATCTTCATAGTGAAAGGGACGATCAGGAAATACAAGTACGAAGGACCTCTAAACTTCTTCGTTACTTTTGAATATTTTTGTCTACGAATTGGTTTAAGGGTTCTCCAACATCCATGGTTTCGGGAGAGGAACGTAACTCAGCAGTCGGCGCTCTACTTCTTGTACTAGTATTATCGTTGCATGCACTCTTTGAGGGACTCTCGATAGCCGTTGTAAACGATGCTTCAAAATTAGTGGAGGTGAGAACAGCCTATTTCTCAAGGTCACGTATTCGTAGAAATGACATATTATACTACTATACTACACATTATACTTCCACGTGATTTCTGTGCGGTTGGTCTCTGCGTGACATACTTAGTGGAAACCTCATAGAAAGCGGCTCTGAAGAAGGCGAAATTCGCCGGAACGTCAGCTTAATCGTGAAGAAAGAATAGTAACACCTCGCGTTTGCTCAACAAAAATACGAAGAAAATCATAGAAATGACTTATCCAGGTTTTCGTCGCTCTCACTCTCCACAAATGCGTCATAGGATTCAGTCTCGGTGTACGACTTGTACAAAGTGGTTTGCGCACTTCATGGGTGGCGCTTTCCTCTTGCATTTTTAGTGTTCAGGTGAGCGCTTCGAAATCAGTTCTGTTCTCCTTCTGCAGAAATCTGTGTTTGGCAATGTTTTACATACTTCAGCTCCACCTTTTTTCTCCACATATGTTCAACAGGGGCGCGTGTAGCGCCATGGGCAGAGACGCTCTGCGATACACATGGGATCGATACCCGCGCCCCGGGTTCACCAATCCTTTCATCCCACCGAGGTCGGTAAATTGGTACAAAACTTATCTGAGAGGACAGCAGCACTGGTTCGATATATCGGTAGTCCACCGCGAGTCATTGTAAAGGCCGGATATGCATTCAATCACCTCTTGCTATACTTAGTGAAGTCGAATGCCTAGCGCACTTATCAGGAACTGATCAAATCGGAGAGCCTTTTATTTTATCCGTTACTTGTTTGTTCTAGATTACATCCAATTCTTAACTTTCAGATTCTTATTGGTGGGTTTGGAGGTCTGGAACTCATGGCTTTACTTTCTGGTGGTGATCGTGCAACTGCGGCTTTGGTTTCTTCTATTCTTCAAGGTTAGTTCCTTATTTTAAGTGTTGATTTAATCTTTTGAAGTGTATAGCTTCATAACTTTATAGTATTTCAGCTCAACTTCATATAACTTCATCTTTTTCCGTTCTTGTTTAGCTTTAGATCTTTTCGCTTCAATTTTAATGTTTCGTTAAATATCTTTTAGGTATTGCATGTGGAACGTTTCTTTACATAACAACGTTTGAAGTTGTGCCTCACGAACTGGACCGTATGGGTAATAGAATCGTCAAGTGGCTCTTCCTGTTTCTCGGTGTTCTAGTGATAGCGGGTTTTATGGCTGTTTTTCCAGAAACTGATTAAGATTTTTTGTGGCTTCTAGTTTTGCATTCCATTTTCGTTCTGTGGATTTCCCAAAGCATGTTTTGTATCTACTTTTATTTCTTGCTCCACGTTTGACGGGTTGTGCTAGGATTTTACGCCGAAATCTGGTCATTTATTTTTAGTTAGCTTTGCTTTGTGCATAACTTCGAAATTAAGGCTGTCTTTTCTTTCGTTTCTTCTTTTCTTTCTCATTTTTTTCTCTTCCTTTTTTAGAATTTTTCTACTGTTTTTAGATAGGTATGTGCTTACCAGAGTATCACAGTACCTTACCGTTTATGTGAATCGCAGTATAAAATGCTGCTGTAATAGGTCTTATATTTGTCATCGTTAGCAAACTTGGTCAATTTTGCATGACACCTACTGTCCATTGAACTACAAATGGCATTTAAGAGGTTTAAATCATTTGAATCATTAATTAGTAAAGTGTAGAACAGAATTCTGTACATAAACTTTCCTTCTTTTTCATCTTCAAGAAATGCCTTCCTGCAGTTCATTTTCAATGTCATTTGCTGTTTCACAGCAGCTTAACCTTAGTTATTCTTAAGAAATCTATTGATGGCTCTACACTGTGTTAATTGAACAACAACTGTAACCCAAGTTTGTAGGGTTATAGTTGATATAATCAGGAGAAATGTTTGTTATCCACCTACTTTGTACTTTTACAAATGCTTTCATTTATCAGAATGAGTGTAATTTTCGTGTGATACTTCTTTAACACTTCACTTCTCTTTAAGATACAGTGTTTCGAAACTTCACTTAAATATCTTAAAGTGTGTATTTTTACAAATTGATGTATTTTAGGTATACTGTTCTCGACGTTGTTCGTCTTCTCAGTTGGCTTTTATTGGTTTCTCAGTTCACAATAAATGTTCAGATTCTTTGCGTGTTTAGAGAGAAGAAAGTATATATCAAATATTTATTGCCTTTGAATGGAATCGAATCTGTAAAGCTTTCGTTTGCGGTTTAGAACAATATGTTGGAAAGATGGTGAATTATGTTCTTATATTTGGTGATCTTCTCAGTAGTCATATGGGGCTTCCTGAGGTTTGTTTTATTTTTTTATATTGTGTTTCTATTATTGCACATTGTCCTATAAGTACTTGTAGGCATTTGGCAGTTTTACTATCGTGGGTGCTCTCAGTGGTATTTCAATGCCCACTCGAGATAGGTGGAGTGGGCTGGCGTAGATTAAGTGATGTACGGATCCGTCTACCAAGCGGACTTCTCGTACACGTCGATAATTTTCAACTTCATCTTTTTTCTGTACTGGTAAGGTAGGTAGTATTATCAGCTAGTGGTGGTAATACTGTGTTTGTAAGACACATTTTGCCCAATTTTGGTAGCTAATTTGTTGTTTCATTGAGATGCAAAGATAGCTTAAGGATAACTTAAGACCTTAGGGACAGGAAGTCGCTAAGCATAATAAATGACTGCGTTGCTACTTTATTACAGTGCGGAGCGCTTTCGAAGTGTAGAAGTTCACTTAGGATATTAAATTTTGTTACTGCTTTATTGTTTTAGCAAGCCATTGCTATTGTCTTTACGAGATGTAAGGGTAGAAGGGGGAGCTCACTTTTTTGCTCAAACTTCTACCAACAGAAGTCGCAAATCCAATGGGTCCGTCAGCGTTAAGCGGCCACTCACGTCACGTATTGCGCAATTGGTTCAGGTTCATTCTGTTTTTTTGAACATACTGATCGCCTTCTATTTTTGTTCTTGGAGTGGTTCATCACTTTTTAGTTTTGTGAATTTTGATTATATGAACTGGAGCTGAACAGTAATAAGAACTCGGTGAAAAATTTCTCATGGAAATCTGAGGCAAACACTATGAGGTATTGTCTTTCTGTTGAGAATATGCCAGATCTCTGTATTTCAGTACTGCGGTTTGCATGTAGCGCGAGGACATCTAGTACTATTGGATGCTCTTCCCGACTGCATGATTCATGTGACCGCTGATGAACTACTTATGGAAACATTTAGGAGTCGTGAAGGGTGCGACTTAAGTTTTTAATTTGTAAGGTCTTTTTCCATAGCGTTTTAATTATTTTTAGATGGCAGCTAGAGATGTCTTGTATCTTAACACGGGGTAAAGCCATACGTCGTCATGGTATTATGGGTCATTCGCTTTTGGATCTCGCTCTTCAATTCAGACTTTCCTTAGATATTGCTGGCGGCCGACTAAAGAATATTCGCTTTCGCGTTGAGGATCCTAGTGTTGAAATTTCAAATGGTTAGCTTTATTGGCCAAATATTTTCAACCAAGAATAACAAACCATGTCCAGCGAATTCTAAAGCAATTAGTTTTCTAAAGCTTTATTTTAGGTGTGTTTGATGTTATCGATGATCAAGCCTTCGGAAAATGTGAGAGTGGTTGTGAAAACGTCGTTGATGCAGAAAATCAGCCGCAGCTTCTTTCAGTGGAAGATCTCTCAGACCTGTGCATCGAAGCCAATAACTGTTTAATGAAATACAGTAATACGGCATCTGGTCAGGAGTGAGTCCATGAAATGCGCCATCTATGTGACATGTCTGCTGATAGTTTTATTGATGGGAACCATATACTTAGCTCTGTATATAGATTCTGATTTGTATGCTAGTAGCTGTCTGTCTTGATCTATTCCCGAACTTTTCAGTAGGTTTTTAACAATGTCTTTACGCGGTTTTTCAATTACGAAGGATAGCGGAAGAATGCAGACAAGAGTAGTAGGGTTATCGATTGAGGATCAGCATCAGAGGTCCAATTTGAGGACTAGTGTTCTCGTGCTATCGTACGAGGTGAATAGTTTATTCTAAGAACTTTGTTGAATAACATATGGAAAATGTCGAGTCAATTTCAGAATCATTCGGACCGATTTGGTTTACAAATCACATCGAATAGTGTTCAAACTTCCTTGTCAGTTCAAGAAGTTATCTGGTGGAAAAACCACATGGATTCTGTTCTTTTGATAGTAAAGAAAGCATTGGTACGATTTGAAGCTGCACCTTTTATTTGTGCTGTTTCCTACTGCATCACATAGTGTTCACCATGAAGGAAAAAGCGAATTCAGAGTGGATCCACACCTGCTGCGAAAGAATCGTGTTCTCATGCTCCTGCGATGTTTACGGTTGAAGTAGCATCCATTTTCTGTGATCTCGTTGACATTGAGTCATTCCATTCAACTTTATCTGTTCAGTATTTTAGCATAACAAAGGTTGGTTTAGTTTTATTTTATCAACGCTTCTATTTGTTATCAGCACAGAGAGCGATAAACTATGTCTAGAATGTAAGGTGTGCATGTATCGAGAATGTTTGAGAGACCACTGTGCTAAGAGAGGGTAGTTCTTCGTTCTTCAGTTCATTTATGCCTCTCTTTTCTGACATAAATGTCTACCCTGCTTTTTCCCAAGTTATTTTGATGAAAAGAAGTTCGCCTTCATTTTTATTCTTCTTTTTCTAGGTGAAAAATATGCTTGATGTTGGTGTTGATTCCCTCTGCTTTGCTGGTCCAAGCGTAAATGTAACAGATGCTTCCTTTGAACACCATCAATGGGGTCATTCGGTTAGTCTGTATTTCTTGTTCAAGTGTCTTAAAAATTTTTCACCCTTCTTTACAGGTTTATGTAGGCGCTGCTCTTGTACAATATAATTTCGACGAGTCAGCTTTAAGCTTGCTAATTGGTATTGATGACTGCAAAATTGAGTGGAGTGAGAAACTTGCTAAGCAGGTATTATTTGTTTCTTTTTCACTAAACATTCACAGATATGAACATTAGGGCAACGTGGATACACTCCAGATAGCAAAATTATTGAGTATATTTCGTAAGAACAATCCTGGTAATGGAACCTCTATTGCTGTTAGCGGGATCTTTAGCGTCAGAATGCAAATGAAGAGGTAACTGCTTTATTGACGGTTCGAATCGTTTGTGCTAAAATGGATAAATTCAAGGGTAGCTTGTTTATCAGTGGCAAAGGAGTGTACATATATGGTTTGGCTGTGTGATATGTTAAGCGTAGAGAGCGCTGCTTTGTCCAGAATGGTCATATCAGCTGAGAAAATTAAAGTACTGGTACGTTTTAGGTTATAAAAATGGCTAGTAATGATCCAAATGCAGTCATATTTTTTAGTCCGGAAATGTTCATGGAGCTTTCGTGGATTTATTAGTGCTCCGTAACATAGACAAGTTTGTTCCTGGGAAGGAAGGTGTTGCTGCTCTGTGGCGTAACTGGAATCAGTCAGAAAATGATGCGTATGTCTTGTCTTGACAATAATTGGAACATATTTTGGTTTCCTTTTGAGTTTGTAGCACCTCTGTATGAGAATTTCAGTCGTGAAAACGAAAAACGTGCCGAGTGTAACAAGAAAAGAATGGAATTTCCGCAGCTGGTATATGTTCTTAGCAAAATTTTATGCTTTCTGTTGCTATTACTCGTACTTTTCTTTTATCGTTTCAGTGTGGGGAGACAAATATGCTTTGCATTACAATTGAAACGTCGGCATTGTCAACATGCTCTGTCACATTCTCTTCAAATGCCTCTATCTTCTTTGTGTGGTCTCCCTTACTACATCGTGCAATTTACTACATGTTTCAGGTTACTCTAAAGTAGGTGACTTAGAATTCATTATGCGGAGCAGTGTATGCACAGTTTCCTAAAAGCACGTTGAAGTGCCAGTAGGCCTGTTCGAGGGCTCAGGTGCGAATGGTGCTTACCGCGTTTTCATAAGTACTAGAATTTCATAATGAATGAGTGATTGAGAACTGCTCGATATGTGAAAAAATTGATGTCCTAGTGCTGGAATAGTTTCATGTCGCCTTTTTAGCACATTTTCCCGACCAGATCCTGTCAACGAGCTGCCGAAAAAGTCTACGAGAACCTTTCAGTTCAAGATTTTGAGTACTGATTCAATAGACTTCGTTATGGAATTACCTCGACATCACAGGTACATAAAATCTTGTTCAGAATTTGGAGTATTTTTACACATTCACATTCTTTAGTACCT